TTTCATACCAAACTTCTTTACCACCTCACTGAACCTACCAAACCATGCTCGAGGAGACTGTTTAAGCCCATATATAGCCTTCCTTAGTCTRCACACCTTACCATCCTCCCCCTGAGCAACAAACCCTGTAGGTTGCTCCATGTAGACCTCCTTGAGTAAGTCACCATGTAGAAAAGCATTTTTGATATCAAGCTGATATAGTGGCCACTCATACATGACTACAAGAGAGATCACAACACGAACTGACCCTATCTTAGCAAGCAGTGAGAAGGCCTCTGTGTAGTCAATACCATAGGTTTGGGAGTACCCTTTAGCAACCAACCGCACTTTCAGGCGTTCAACACTACCATCAGGCAGATACTTAACCGTATAAACCCATTTACAACCAACARCTTGCWTCYCAGGAGGAAGAGCAGTGAGGTCCCAAGTATGATTATGATGAAGGGCTGAGAGTTCTTCTTCCATGGCTCGGCACCACCCTAGAGAGGCAAGGGCTTCCTGGACATCCTTAGGGACAACAACTGATGATAACAGGGTGACAAACTGGCGATGTGAAGCGGAAAGGTAAGGGAAACATAATTAGAAATGGGATGAAGGGTGCAAGTAYGTTTACCTTTCCGCAAAGCAATGGGTAGGTCAAGCTCAGATGTTGAGTGCGGGTCTGGTGTCGGATCCGTCGACGGAGATGTAGCCAGAGGAGTAGTAGCTGGTGCGTGTGGGCGATGTGAATACACATAACGGATAGGTGGGCGTTCAACAGGTGGTGGCACCGGAGGCAAGGGTTTGGTCACGGCTGGAACAAAGGAAGAAGGGTCGACAATGGGAAGTGGAAGAGGAGGAGGTGATAAGGAGGAAGAAGAATCACCGGACCCCAAAAAGAACGGAGTAGACTCAAAGAATGTGACATCAACACACACAAAGGACCGTCGAGAACCAGGATGGTAACACCTATACCCTTTCTGGGTCCGAGAGTAGCCAAGGAAGATGCACTTGAGAGAACGGGCATCGAACTTGTCATTCTCGGGACCCAGATTATGGAC